GATATTGTCACACACACGACAATCACCAACACACGGAGTTCTCAAGTGGCCATCATGATGTCCTCCCCTCGAGAACATCGGAGGCTGTCTCTAATGCAGTGGGAACCAATCTCCTCCAGCATCAAGATCAGCATCATGACAGCAAGATGGATTCAACTCGAAAGGAAGGAAAGTGACAATCACTCAATGTTACGCTACGCTATGCTATGCACCTACAAATAATGCAAATCAAGGGAAGAAGGAGGAATTCTACAGACAACTGCAATCAGTACTGGACAAAACCCTACTCCAGTTGGAGACATCAAAATTGTGATGGGCGACATGAATGCCAAAGTGGAGGTGGACAACGCGGGAAGAGAATTCAAGATGGAATGAGAAGCAATCGGTGAGATGATGAATGATAATGGAGAACAGTTTGCGGAGTTTTGCCGATTTAGTGATTTGGTGAATGAAGGTAGTGTGTAGAAGGAGGAGGATATTCATTCACCAGATGAACACACTAAAATGAGATCGACTTCATGTGAATGTGAATGAAGTGGAGATGGATATGCAGCCTACTTGACGGAGGATGAGATGAAGAATGGGAGGAGATGTAGGTTGAGACCGCTCACTGTTTAGTGCAAGGGACCTTCGAAATCATGTTGATATTCTTCAAGCTTTTTGGTGATATACCACAGTTCAAGTTCAACACCCACAACAGAAGGTGAGGGACGAAACTACAAAGAAAATCTTCACGGCAGCCATCAAAACAAAATGGGAGATATCGATCAACATCCGTTGAGAAACATATGTGGATGAGCACTGTGACTGTTTGGAAGCAATGTGGAAAGAAACTTGCGTAGCCGTACCAGGAAGGAAGAGGATAGAAGACAATGACTGGAATGGATCTGGACGGACACATGGAAGGTGATAGATGAGGGAGAGGAAGATGGTGATGTTGATGTTGATGGTGAATCAGAATATGAAGCAGTGTAGTGCAAGGATGCACAACGAGAAGAGGAACTGAGTACAACGTATGTAACAGTATGCTGTACAAAGAAGTGAAGAGGAGTGTACAGAAAGACCGAAGACACTTCTACGACATACTGTCAAGTGAAGCAGAACAGGCTGAAGTCTGCAGGTAGGAGAGACCGAGACGTGACAACATTGTATCAACTGACCAGGTTAGTGTGTGGGAGGGAAGATATCAGTGTAGATGAAATGAATACATAATGATGAAGGAAATCTAATAACCGGGGAAGAGAAACACAGGAAACGATGGGTGACCACTCCACGAAGCTCTTGAATCGACCACCAGCTTCAACTCGCTCAGGAATACCACCAGCTATGGCATAACTGCCAGTGAACACATGCCTAGCGAGAAAAGCAGAAGTCCTAAACGCCATAGATCTACTGAAATGCCGGAAAGCAAGAGGATAAGATGGAATTCTAGCAGAAGCACTGAAAACGGACGCAAAGACAACAGCGGCTGATATGCTCATACCACACCACTACTACAGAAGGTTTGAAATGAAGGAAAGGTACCTGTTCGCTGGTCGGAAGAACGGCTACCTTGTCAAACTCCCGAAGAAAGGAGACCTAAGTCTTTGCAAGAACTGGCGAGGAATCGTGTTCCTGTCCACCCCAAGCAAAATATTATGCCGCATCACCCTGGAGAGACTAAAAAATGCTCTGTGTTTAACATAACGATAGGAACAGGCCAGCTGGCTTCAGGAAGAACAAATCATGTGCCCATCAATTCGCAACGCCCTGCAACACATCATAACGGAACAGAGTGTAGAATGGCAGTCAACTGGATCTCTACCTAACCTTCATCCGCTTTGAAAAGGCCTTCGAGAAGTAATTTGGCAGTTTCTTCAACACTACTGAGTGTAACAAATGTTTATCAACCTCATTCAACAACTATATGCAAACGCCACATGCCAACTGATTCACAATGGAAAGCTCAGTGATGCTTCTAAAATGAAGATAGGAGTAAGACAAGGTTGCCTACTATCACCCATGATGTTTCTGATTGTGGTGGACTGGATCACGCCGCAAACCGCAAGGTATGAGAAGATGCGCATAGGCTGTTTGACTGATCAAAAAGCCTAGAAGAAGATTTGAATTTCACCGATGATTTATGTCTAATGCCGCACAGACTCGAAGATCTACGGGCGCAAAATAACAAGTTTACAGAAGAGAAGGCGAGAACGGGACTTCAAGTAAATGTACAGAAGACGAAGGTGATGAAGATACTCAAATAACAACATCAACTGCAAAAACAACAAGCACCAATCATCATCAACGGGAGAAACCTAAAGGAAGTGATCTCTTTCACCCACTTGCCCACCTGGGCAGCGTTGTTTCAACTACCGGCGGCTGCACAGACGAGGATGTCAAAACCAGGATCAGAAAGACAGCAAGACATGCTTCACTAATCTGAAAGCAGTGAGGAGATCCACTGCACTCAGCACAAAGAACTAGATCCGGATTTTCAACATCACTGTCAAGTCAGTGCTTTTATGTGATGGGTGAGAGACTTGGCACGTCAAGAAAAGCATTTACAACAAACTGCAGACATTCATCAACAGCTGCCTATGCTGGCTTGATACTGAAGATCAGATGGGAAGCTGATAAAGAATAAGCAACAAGGAACTCTAGCCTACCAAGGAACCAACCAAGAACCTATCACCCAACAAATATTCAGAAGAAAGTGGAGATATTTGTATTGGACATATACTGAGAAGAACATTTTGGAACGTCACTAACCAGCCCATCGAGTGGAATCCAAAGGGAGGAAATGACGAGTTGGGTGTCGTAGATGAAGTTGACCTGGAGGAGATAGTGTGTGAGGAAGAAATGAAATCCTGTGGGCAGTCGTGGCGCCAGATTGAAAATACTGCAGAGAAGAGAGTGCAATGAAGGCGTGCTACTGAAGCCGTATGTTCCACTAGGAACCCAAGGGAATAATAATAATAATAATATATACCTGAAATCAGTAAGTAAATCCACAAAAACCAAAAACATTGAAATTTGACTTAATATGACAGATGATATAAAATGCTTCATTCAATCATCTTTGATCGCACATACTCATGTTATCCCATTAATGTCGGAGAATTCGATTTCTAGATACTTTTAAATGGGCGTTTTTTGGTGTATCATAATCAATATTGATAAAGAAATTTGGTTATTTCTTTCATTTCATCAATAATTTTTACCAGTTTCCTTGATCCTTATACTGATTCGTAAATGTTACTCATTTATATTAAATATTTCACTCATATTTTGACAGGATATTAAATATCACAGAAGCTTAGTCATGTGAATGAAGTGTAGTCTTAGCTTTACTGTCCAATTTACTTCTTCAGGTTGACTTTTTAAAAGATAATTACAGCTGGTCACGGAACCTGAAGGCTCTGGGTTAGAAACCTTGGAGTATGGGGTCATGGATGTTCTGTGCTAGGGAGTCCCATACTAGGAAAAGACACCTATCCATTGCTTCCAGATTTCCAGTGTTTCTCCGATTGACGTCAACCCATGACAGATGCCAATTTGAAAAATCACTAAATCACCGCAAACCCTCGATTGTACAAGTATTTAGTGATTTCAAGTCTCAATTTTATAATATTGTATTCCTGTGGTATGTGATTTTCATGCAAATCAAATTCAAATTATTTGCACTCACTTTTTACTTCATTTCATGTTTACTACTTGTAAGTAGGTAAACGAATGCAACAAAAAAATGCCATCAGTGAAAATACTTTTACCGCTGTAAAATGTTATTGACAAAAATATTGGAATACATCTCTTGATAAATATAACTAGCAGGAAGTTGTTTTAAATGTTTTCATTGGTGGAACTGGAAACGGCATACGGTATAATTTATTTAGTTGTAGCTAGCAGAGGAGATCAGGACGCGCATTTCCTCCCATTTTGGGACTCGTCAGCTGGATGTACCTGTACCCCAATGAGTGATGTTGTCCCCATAACCAAGTAATATCAAGGCATCCTCACACAAACCCATATCCCAAAACGACTGAACTATTCAATCCAGTAAAATGACAGAGAATTACAAGCATATCAACAAATAGTAAGAACATGGTGTGGTTTAACTTTTTATATTTTCTGACAAACTGTAGCTGTAATACCTAGTGTAATCGCTCTTACTGTTATAACTGAAATTAAACTTGGGTTTTAGTTAAAACTCTAGAAAGAATAAGGATTTTAGAAAAATGAAAAAGTACGAATACACACGTGTAAATGCAATTTTCGCACGCTTAAAGAAAATGAAAATGAAAAATAGATTTTATAGTATTCAGTGGATTATCAGAAAGTTGTGAATTGGATTATCAAGGGAAAAAACAAAGCGTTGATTAGAAGCTAAAGGCGGCCAGAATAATAAGGGATAAAAATAGGAAGCAAATGATTATTATTTCAAAGTATTTTATTTCCCTAGCAGAGAATACATTATGATACTTTTTAATCATATCAACATGGATAAGAACAATTAGGTATCTAAAGCAATTGAGATAGGTGAATACTTATATCTTGTAGACAATATTATCTGAATATAGTGGAATGAGTTATTGGGTGAAAGAGCACAGGCAACGGCAAAAATTTACGACATCATATTTATGTTATAATTTTTTTTTTTTTCTGTTTACAAAAAAAAATCTAAATTGGTCTGAAAAAAATAATAAACATTATGAAAAGAAAACTGAATAAATAACTATTTGTAAAATAAAATAAATCACCAAAAAAATAGTCAGCAAACAAAAGAACTGATATATATATATATATATGTATATATCAGAAAATCGGTGAATAAATTATGAATAACAGTAGCAGGCAAATTGATGATTTGATGTATTATTGTAATAATAATGTGTTATCAATTAAATTACTTGAAATTATAATTGTTTGTTTTAAAATTGAAGTAGACCAATTATTTATTATATATTTAACATGAGAACTAAAAACACAGTTGCTTATATTTCTTTGAATGTGGTCTATATCCACTGTGTGTGTATGTATGTCAAATGTGACATGTACTACAGACGATTGATTCTATGTGTTATCAAAGTGTAGAATTAAATAGAATCACTGGTTGTAACTGGATTTGATTGTGAAATAATTGAATATGTTTTCCATTCCTTTTGCGTATCACTTGAAGTTGATGATGTAATATTTAAATGGGGTATATTACTACTAGTAAAAGAAATAGGTATCTGTTGATAGTATGCTGGTATGCTGGATGGTAAATTACTGACTGGAAATTCTTGGAATGAAGGTATATTGGGAATGGATTCAGTTGAAGTACTTTGCCATGGAATTGGTTGAATATTATGGGGTTGAAAAATGATAGAATGTAAATATGGACTTTGTGATGAAGTACCAGGAACTGATGTACTTAATCGTTGTTCATGTGAGTAGATAGTTATTCCCTCATTTGGAGATGGTTCATGAACTGATGTACCAGAAAATATACTCTCACCTGACTGAGTATCTTTAACTAAACCACAACCATGAATCCTTTTGTGTCTTGTACGTTCATCTGATCGGGCAAATTTACGTCCACATGATTCACACATATATGGTCTCTCACCCGTATGAGAACGTGTATGAGTTCTTAAATGATCCGACCGACCAAACGAACGTGGACAATACTTACACATAAATGGTTTCGTTCCAGTGTGTATTCTGTGATGTCGTTTTAGTTCATCTGGTCGAGCAAATCTTTTTCCACAATCTATTTCAGGACAACAGTATCTACGTTTTTCTAAATTTTCACCAAGTGTATGTTGTTTTGCTGACACTGAGGATGCGGATGCAATGGATGAAGTAGATTTTCGGTAAATAACTGTTGATGGTCCTGCTTCAGTTGGAAGCAGTGATGTCATGCCCAGCTCTGTCAAATAACCTGGGAACGTTTCAGCACTAAGCGTTTTAGATGTATGACAGGAAAAAAATGATTCGGGATAATCTCTGGGGGACAACATATGATAATCATCTACAGATGGGGCTGATTTCGTGTGTAAGATGTTATAAAAATCAGATTTTTCAAAAACTGGTCCTTCAGGTACCGAGTAATGTCTCTGAAGTAATTTCTGTGTAGATGAAATTGATGAAAGATTATGCCGTTCTGCAGGCAAAGGCAATTCTGTGTATGTTTCAGGAGAATACATCTCTTGTTTTATAAAAGGTTTGGGAAATGTCATTGTTCTGCATTCTGAAGGTGATATAGACTGTGAAGTGAACTTGACTGGGTCGATAGATGTTGAAGATTCCTGCTTCATGAATGTATGTGAACCGACTGACTGATGTCTAGACGATCTCATATGATAAGGTACCTTTTCTCCACCGATTCCAAAAGGAACTCCAGGAAATACCGATGAGTAACTTTCAGATGCTGTGCTTACACACGTATAAGATGGAGTTATTCTGGTTCCCTCTTCAATTTGGCTTGCAGTAAAAGAATGTATTTCAGATTCTCTATATCCAGACGGCAGTGATGCGAGATATCCTTCAGCAACTTCATGTTTCCCGACTCTAGAGATATATGAAGATGGGATTACTTTGTGTGAAGTCCCTTCAAACATTTTTTCAGTGTAAGATGATGACTGCCTCATTGATGGGGTTGAATATAGAACTCTTGGGAATTCTTGACCTGCGGGTTAGAGTAATACCAAAACGTGTTGAGTGGAAAGCATTAAAAAAAATGAGTAGTTCTGTAGATTACTAATCTAGACTGATAATTTGCGTTTGTTTATTTAATTCGATAATTTCTGTTAATATTTGGCCTTATTCAGCCAATTGGTTTGAAATTCCACCAAGTAACATTTTAATACAATTTGTTTGACAGTAACTCGCAGCAAACTCTAGATTGCTCATCTCCTGTGCAATGGGTATCACTTTGTATTTCTGATCTAAACAGATGCCAAACAGATGAAATCATTATGGATTTTCCTCTTAGCTCAATAGTGACAAACTGTTTTACGTCAAGTTTGATGAACAGCAGTCTAAAATTAATAGTTCGTTAGTTTTTCGTGTACAAAATGTATATTGGAGGTAAGTGCAGAATTTTCCATAATGATTGTGACCTAAGTTGTGGCTTATAATTATTAGGCAGACACTATCCCTCAAATGAATTCACACTTGAAGTGGAAAGGGAATCAACAGTTCCAGTTTTCAGTGTAACCTTTTTAGTAGCCGTGACTCGGTAGACTAGTATTATTGATACTGAAAAATGAAAAACTTGTTTTCCATCTAGTACTCACCAGACAAAATGATACGACACTGAGGAGGTTTATCTGTGAATTTCCTTTATGGAACAGTCAGTTGGTTTACTGTAAGTCGTATCCTTTGCTTACCTTTTGTTCAGTATATCTACAGCTCTGATCGCCTGGAAGAAGGACTCACGTTCCCCAGATCATTTCTGGCAGAAACACATATCTGGCAAGATTTGCGAACAAAAATAAACGACCTGAACAACAGATCCGAAGTAGATAATACACATGAATTTAACTTCTAGAATGACTGCATTACTGATATCTTGGAATGGAGAATTTCTAAATGGTTAACGAAAACTTTTTTCTCGTTAAACTTGAGGAAGGTACTCCCTAGTCGTTCAATGATTCCTGGAAACCAGAAGTAGAAGCTCCGATATTTAACCACATCCATGTTTAATATAAGTGAAAAACTTGGGCACTGTGGTAGAATGTAGTTCCATATTAGATTTGTTTATTTGATATAAAGCGCACAGTGATACAGTATTATTTACTTGATTACGTTTCGAGCATAAATTATTGCGCATAATCATGTCATTGATATGATTATGAGCAATAATTTATGCTCGAAACGTAATCAAGTAAATAATACTGTATCACTGTGCGCTTTATATCAAATAAACAAATCTAATATGGAACCACATCCATGTTTGTTTATCAACTCATCTGATTTTGTGAAGTTAGGTATGTAGATGGTTTGATGCGCCTTCTTTGCATACAGGCTACAGAACATTACCCCACCTGGTTTCGAAGAGGTTTGAGTAGAACAACTGAATAACTGAAATAATCGAACACATTGTCAAGACTGGTCACACTATCAAAACTGATTCAGAGTTCAGACTTACCTATAAGATGGAAATAAATTCTATGGAAATGATAAGTTTCTAAATTCACTGCACTACATATGCATTGAAAAACCGGAATTATGCATACAAAAGCAACTTCTTCAGCTTTGGTCGCTAACTTGGATTTAGTAAACAGCTAAGTATGTCAGCGTTCATCACTTTCTTAATATTCTCAATCATGCTAAATTTTATTAAATATTTGAATAATCAAAAGTCATCTTCATTTTGTTACCATGGTATTCTTCATGATGTTTTATCTTCAAAGTTATTTTTACTTGTTATACAACTTTATATTCTGTCCTGTTAATTATGTTGGTTTCTATGCTCTGTGGTGATGATTTTCAATTTATATCCAACTTGTGAACTTTGATATGCCTTCCACTTGATCTCTGTTATTCAGTTTGATTAAATAATGGTAGCAATTATTTCATATGGTAGAAGAAAAATGTATAAATTATGATTTTACATCTCTAAAGAATGAAATCATCGACTGAACATCTCATTTTCTCTTAAAGAGTTTTGATGGGTATTTTCCGTCATTTATATTCGTGACAGTTCTCACTCGGTAACATAGTCAACAATATACTTACACCTCATACAATTGGTACCAACTATAAAGTTTTAAAAAACCTCTTCTGGTTAACTGGTTAACTAGATACTAGACAGTCCTAAGCCCAGATAAAGAGTAAAGGTTCGGCATAAGCCTAGCAACCCTACCATGTAAAACCAATCCAACCGTTACAGAAACTTCAAAGCACACACAAAATATAAAACATAAAAACAAACTTATTCCTGTCTGGAATCGGAAAGAAGAAATGATGCCCATTGGTGTAAGCCTTCGGGAAGCCAGTCAGCCTATGTATCCTATCTCTCTCTCTCTCTCTCTCTCTCTCTCTCTCTCGATGAAACCGAAAGTAAGCATAGGAACATGGAATATCTGCACCATTTATGAACCCACCAAGGATGCCAAGATTGCCGAAGAGATGAGAAGGTATAGTATTGAAGTGCTAGGAATCTGTGAAAGCAGATGGAATGAAGGTAGACTCTCTAAACTGTCAACTGGAGACGAGTCAATCATCTATTCCAATATTGTCACACACACGACAATCACCAACACACTGAGTTCTCAAGTGGCCATCATGATGTCCTCCCCTCGAGAACATCGAAGGCTGTCTCTAATGCAGTGGGAACCAATCTCCTCCAGCATCAAGATCAGCATCATGACAGCAAGATGGATTCAACTCGAAAGGAAGGAAAGTGACAACCATTCAGTGTTACGCTACGCTACGCTATGCACCTACAAATAATGCAAATCAAGGGTAGAAGGAGGAATTCTACAGACAACTGCAATCAGTACTGGACAAAACACTACTCCAGTTGGAGACATCAAAATTGTGATGGGCGACATGAATGCCAAAGTGGAGGTGGACAACGCGGGAAGAGAATTCATGATGGAATGAGAAGCAATCGGTGAGATGATGAATGATAATGGAGAACAGTTTGCGGAGATTTGTCGATTTAGTGATTTGGTGAATGAAGGTAGTGTGTAGAAAGAAGAGGATATTCATTCACCAGATGAACACACTAAAAATGAGATCGACTTCATGTGAATGTGAATAAAGTGTAGATGGATATGCAGCCTACTTGACGGAGGATGAGATGAAGAATGGGAGGAGATGTAGGTTGGGACCGCTCACTGTTTAGTGCAAGGGATCTTCGAAATTATGTCGATATTCTTCAAGGTTTTTGGTGATATATCACAGTTCAAGTTCAACACCCACAACAGAAGGTGAGGGACGAAACTACAAAGAAAATCTTCACGGCAGCCATCAAAACAAAATGGGAGATATCGAGCAACATCCGTTGAGAAACATATGTGGATGAGCACTGTGACTGTTTGGAAGCAATGTGGATGGAAACCTGCACAACTATACTAGGAAGGAAGAGGACAGAAGACAATGACTGGAATGGATCTAGACGGACACATGGAAGGTGGATAGATGAGGGAGAGGAAGATGGTGGTGATGATGATGATGTTGATGGTGAATCAGAATATGAAGCAGTGCAGTGCAACGATGCATAACGAGAAGAGGAACTGAGTACAACGTATGTAACAGTATGCTGTACAAAGAAGTGAAGAGGAGTGTACAGAAAGACCGAAGACACTTCTACGACATACTGTCAAGTGAGGCAGAACAGGCTGAAATCTGCAGGAAGGAGAGACCGAGACGTGACAACATTGTATCAACTGACCAGGTTAGTATGTGGGAGGGAAGATATCAGTGCAGATGAAATGAATACATAATGATGAGGGAAATCTAATAACCGGGGGAGAGAAACACAGGAAACGATGGGTGACCACTTCACGAAGCTCTGGAATCGACCATCTCCTGCAATCCATCTAGAAGTACCACATGCAGCCACAAAGCTACCAGTGAAAACAGGCTCTCAAACAAATGTCAAAATCGTTAACGCCATAGATCTACTGAAATCCGGAAAGCAGCAGGACCAGATGGAATCTCGCCAGAAACCCTGAGAGCAGATTCATAGACAACGGCGGACATGCTCACACTACTATTGCAGAAGGTCCGGAAGGAAGGGAATGTACCTGGAGATTTGCAGAAGGGCGACCTAAGCCTTTGCAAGAACTGGTGTGGAATCACGCTCCTATCCACCCCAAGCAAAATATTATGCCGCATCATCCTGGAGAGACTGAAAGGATATGCTGGATTCAAAACTACTACAGAAAGAAGCTGGCTGGCTGCCTTCAGGAGGTACAAATCATATGTGGACCAAATGGCAACGCTTCGCATCATCATAGGACGGATTATAAAATGGCATTCAACCCTCTACCTCAACTTCATCGACTTTGAGAAGGCCTTCGACAGCGACGACGGGGAAGTAATTTGGCAGTTGCTCCAACACTACGGAGAACCGCAAACTTTTATCGACCCCATTCAGCAACGATATGAGAACGCCACATGCCAAGTAATTCACAATGGAAAGCTCAGTGATGCTTTTGAAGTGAAGACAGGAGTAAGACAAGGCTGTCTACTATCACCTATGATATTCCTAATTTTGGTCGACTGGATCATGCAAGAAACTGTGAGGAGTGAGAAGAGGGGGATACGCTGGACCGCAGAAAAAAAAAACCTAAAAGATTTGAATTTCACCGATGACTTGTGTCTAATGTCGCACACACTCAAAGATCTGCAGGCGAAAACAAACAGAATAGACAGAATAGACATGGCAGCGAAGACGGGACTTCCAGTGAACGTAGAGAAGATGGAGGTGATGAAGATACCCAACCAACACCACCACCAACAACAGCAAGCTCTAGTCACCATCAGCGGCAGAAACTTAAAAGGAGTAGCCTCTTTCACCTATCTAGGAAGCACTGTTTCAACTACAGGTGGCACAGACGAGGACATCAAGGCTAGGATCGGAAAAGCAAGATCGGCATTCATTAACCTGAAACCAGTGTGGAGATCTTCTACAATCAGCACAAAGCGTGAACAACATACGGATTTTCAACA